AGCTCTTTATTGCAGCACATTTGATGGCGACAAGGTCAACGATGCAAGGCGATACTTTTTCATAAGCCAGGGAAAGACCATTGACAATATATTCCCAACTGCCAACAACTGGTGCATTGGACGAACACGTAAAAACGATCTGCGTTACAAGCACGAAAGTGATACAATTGTTTATGAAGCCGCAAGAGTAGCACTGGAACCCACATATTGGGGATGAATGAAGGATGGCGAAGTTTGGAGCCGCAATGCCGCATGCCCGACGTTTCCCAATGACCGAAGCGCTGATTTGTTGTCAGGGTGTAGTGGTGCACCAAATGTAGGGTTGGTAGATGAAATGCAAAGAGTTTGTTGAAGTATACAGAGCTGTGTAGATGTCACTAAGCGAAATGTTAGATAATGCCAAAAACAACCATGCTGAGTGAAAAATTAACATTGCGGACCTCACTGACAAACATAAAGAATATAAATTTCGCGTCGTTAATATTTGGTCTTTAAATGAGGATATAGCTCCTACTTTTGAAACATAGCAATTCCTTTATATTTGTGGGCAAAGTCCCCGTACATTTGTGAGCGTTACCGTAATTTATTTTTTACCAAAAAGACCACACAAGCCGAAGGAGTCTTTTATGACGCTTTATGACGCGTTATATGACAATTTACTCTTTATATTATATATTCTGGATACAATATACTCAGGAAAAGCGGTAAAACATCAAATTTTAGGGTAATGTGACTGCGCATGCGCACTACTGTTTTTCTGAAATATCCTTAATTTCATGACAATGCAACATACAATATTGTTGAAAGCCTTCTCTTGCGTGTATTTTTGCTAAGCGTGTCCATTTGTTCACAGATGTGATGACTAAATGAGATAATTTTCCTCAAGGCGCATACGGAATGTCGGCCATTTTGAAGGCCGAAATAGGCACTTTCCCCTGCTCAAATTTTGGGCAGTCCTTCCATTCCATATTCCGCATATCTTAATGAATATCTGTGCCAAGTTTCAGAATGTGATCACAATTTGAACGATTTGCCTAAATTTGGTGTCTTAGCAGCCCTACTACAACACCTATTTTAAATTAAAGCGAACGCATGCATCATTAAAGTGTCAAACGTATGTTTACATATTAAAGTGTATTCACTTTTGAGTGACAGCGGCTCAGACTCGCAGCCAATTATCAATTCCCGTCCACTGGTGGACGGGGAATTCGATTACACTGCCAAACTCAGCAGGCGGTATTTCCCAGGCTTGCCCAATTTTAGGAACCGCCTGCCATGCAGGCTATGTCGAAGTGAGCTGTGGTGTTTCCTGACAAAACAAGAAACGTCTACTATAATTAATATTTAAGCTGTAGTTTTCCTTGTACAGTATTTATTAGTGCAGATGTCTGATGAAATACTACGCGTATTGCATTGTAGTAATATTTTAATTTACAATATTCTGTACTGACAAATAAAAGCAAGACAAACAATTAAATGAAACTACTAAATTAATTTAGGCCCTGTTTACTTAATAGCTCTACGCCTAGGCCGATGTAGTCTCTACAAGATTCGCACGCCACCGAGTTTTACAGTTTCAGAATACCCCAAACACTTGAAAATTGCGACTATACGATAAAATAAAACAAAGATTGAGATGGGGATAAAATTTGTAGGCAAGCATTGCTCCTGAACGGTAAGTGTTGGTGTCCGGCGAAACAAGCGAATCCGTATATTCCTGTACAGCGTAAACAGGTTACGCGAGGTTTTATATTTGCGTTTATTTATATTGAACTAAGTCAGATCTATAAGAGCATATTTAAACTAAATATTAATTATAGCAATAGCCATATTGTTCAAGACGAGAGAAAGGAAATTTCGTGTGAATCACCACTTGCATGGAGACGCCTAGATGCAGCTTGGATGCAGCTTTGCCTGTAGTTGAAAATCTCCAGAAATCGGTATATCTTAGAAAACATAGACGGGATCTTCATAGATTTCAGCTGATTCGTACCAAACTTCGCTCTACACATAAATAATATCGATTGATAATAGCTATTTATTTGTTTCGAAGACTTGTATATTTCATTAAAGAATATCTCGCCACTCCTTGACGAGTAGCTGTCAAATACTGCCATTATTTGGGTAGACACGTGACCGGCCCGGACCAGGGCTTCCTCGTGTCTCGCCTCGTCCTCACACTGAAGCCCTGGGAACGAGGTTGTCCAAACCACTTACGCTCGGCCTAATCAATCAACTTCCAGTTGCTAATTCATTCAGTCGCTTTCGGTCACTTCTAAGGCTGGCTCTTGTAAATGAAGTAATAAAGAGCAATTAGCAGCGAAAGGCCGACTTGGAGAAAATTTAGAAGACTGTCTCATAATGATTATGCACCATTACATTTTCCTGCGAATATCAGAGCTCCCCAGTAAAATCTGGGGCCGGTTGTGAGAAAACTGTAATTAAAGATAACTGCAGTTAACGTTAACTATGTATATACCGTAGTTAAATCCTTAATCCTAGTTAGTTAACTACACGACTTAACTGCGTTGCACAAAACGTAGTTAGTCGGAAAGTTAACTAATCACGTAGTTAAGGTGATTTATCAGTAATTGTTCTGGAAATGAGAATTTGCTGAAACTTCCCAGGGGTGAAGTTTATGATATACTCACACTAAAAACAGAAAAAAGTTGGTCGGGTCATCGCGATCGAACTCGTTTCGAAGATATGACAGGTGCAATATGCTACCCCATATGGCGCCATGTTGACCCTTTACGAGTTACAGGAACAATCGCAATTGCTCAACCGTTATTGATTTTTTAAACAATTATCCTAATAAAAATGTCGATCTAGCAATTATCTACAAGAAAACATGGTATTTTAGCGAATCAAAAACCATTGACGTACACAGCACATGAGGACCCGCACGACCAAAAATATGCAACTTTTGCGTCTTGAAGACGCAAAAGTCCGGAAATCAAATTACATTATCTCATTAAATTTAATGGCAAAAACTGTTATCAATCAGTAATTAGTTCACTAGTTCGCAATGGGTGCTCTGTTTTAAGATCTGTTATTAACAAGTTATTAGTTAAAAATGCACACATAGGGAGGGAAATTTGATCAGATAATTACAAATTATTTAAGACTTGCTTCTGTATTAACAAGAATTAATATACAGAGAAAAGGGTGTGAAATTTTTATTCTGTCAACGCCATTCGTTCTCTCTCAGTGGGTTTCTATATAGACTATATGCTCTATACTATGTTTATCACAGTATTATAGTACAGGCATATATAGTGGCCGCTCTAACTAATTTGGTTCGCTTTTTCGCCAAACTAATTACTTTGAATGTCCTTGCTGTATATTCGTGAGAGTGGTTAATTTCCTCAATGAGTATCCGTGTCTCTTTATGCTATGGTTTTCCTTTAGTTCAGTAATAGGCTCCGTGCAGTATAATAATACAGTATGCAAGAAATGTCATGTTTGACTGCAACACATTATATGTTTCGCAAACAATGTTTCCCTTAACTCTTATAAGATTGACTTTTACGGCAGACCGCTATAACGGTTAACCGCAAAGCCAAAGGTCAAATTGCATTTGAAGTTAAATTCTATACAATTTTTCGACATGCAGCTAACTATTAGTAGCTATTTCGCAATTTTCATGGACAAATTGCCGTAAAACTTCGAATTGTCTGTTGGTATTTGCTTTTGAAGATACTTATATTACCAAACGGAGAACTTATTAGGGCCATTAATTTCTAGTTATATGGGAGAAAATGCGCGACTTACATAAGACGCAAACACACTTGTATAAATGGTCTAATTCTAGTAAGTCGCGACTAATTGTGGACCAGTCTAAACCCTAATTGTTCTTATGTAATTCGCAGTTAACTAAAATTTGAAGTGAATTTGACCATTTATACGAGTGTGTTCGCGTTTTATGTAAGTCGCGACTTATTTTCTTCCGTATAAATGGCCCTATTGAGCAAGTGATCACTACAATGCAATGCTATAATATGCTGAGAAATAATTATCAATTATGATACGACTTCCAGCTTCAACTGAATAAGCAAAGATGACTACATCTTCCTGATCTGTCAGCAAATGATGACTGCATCTTTCTGACACAAGAGCGTCCACTAAAAGAATTCCCATAATATTTATACCGTACAACAGCAGTGTATTTTTTGTGTCTTGAATAGTAACTTGTGATAAAATTATAGAATTTATTATACTTTTTATTTAGATATAATATGCTGTGTAATAATTATGATACGACTTTCAGCTTTAACTGATTAAGCAAAGATGACTACATCTTCTTAATCTGTCAGCAAAAGATGACTACATCTTTCTGACACAAGAGCGTCGATCCACTAAAAGAATTCCCATAATTTTTATACTGTTCAACAGCAGTGTATTTTTGTGTCTTGAATAGTAACTTATGATAAAATTAGAGAATTTATTATACTTTTCATTTAGATATAAGTTGCTGACTTGTGTAATAATTATGATACGACTTTGAGCTTCAACTGATTAAGCAAAGATGACTACATCTTCTTAATCTGTCAGCAAAAGATGACTGCATCTTTCTGACACAAGAGCGTCCACTAAAAGAATTCTCATAATCTTTATACTATACAACAGCAATGTAGTTTTTATGTCTTGAATAGTAGCTTATGATAAAATTATAGAATTTATTGTACTTTTCATTTAAATATAAGTTGCTGTGTAATAATTATGATACAACTTTCAGCTTTAACTGATTAAGCAAAGATGACTACATCTTCTTAATCTGTCAGCAAAAGATGACTGCATCTTTCTGACACAAGAGCGTCCACTAAAAGAATTCTCACAATTTTTATACTGTACAACAGCAATGGGGTTTTTATGTCTTGAATAGTAACTTAATATAAAATTATAGAATTTATTGTACCTTTCGTTTAGATATAAGTTGCTGTGTAATAATTATGATACAACTTTCAGCTTTAACTGATTAAGCAAAGATGACTACATCTTCTTAATCTGTCAGCAAAAGATGACTGCATCTTTCTGACACAAGAGTGTCCACTAAAAGAATTCTCATAATCTTTATACTGTACAACAGCAATCATGTATTTTTTATGTCTTGAATAGTAGCTCATGATAAAATTAAAGAATTTATTGTACTTATCATTTAGATATAAGTTGCTGTGTAATAATTATGATACGACTTTCAGCTTCAACTGATTAAGCAAAGATGACTACATCTTCTTAATCTGTCAGCAAAAGATGACTGCATCTTTCTGACACAAGAGCGTCCACTGAAAGAATTCTCATAATTTTTATACTGTACAACAGCAGTGTATTTTTTATGTCTTGAATACTAACTTATGATAAAATTATAGAAATTATTATACTTTTTATTTAGATATAAGTTGCTGTGTAATAATTATGATACGACTTTGAGCTTCAACTGATTAAGCAAAGATGACTACATCTTCTTAATCTGTCAGCAAAAGATGACTGCATCTTTCTGACACAAGAGCGTCCACTGAAAGAATTCTCATCATTTTTATACTGGACAACAGCAGTGTATTTTTTTATGTCTTTAATAGTAACTTATGATAAAATTATAGAATTTATTATACTTTTCATTTAGATAAAAATTGCTGTGTACTAATTATGATACGACTTTGAGCTTCAACTGATTAAGCAAAGATGACTACATCTTCTTAATCTGTCAGCAAAAGATGACTGCATCTTTCTGACACAAGAGCGTCCACTGAAAGAATTCTCAGTAATTTTTATACTGTACAACAGCACTGTATTTTTTATGTCTGGAATAGTAACTTGTGATAAAATTAAATTATAGAATTAATTGTACTTTTAAACTTCATTTAAATAATATAAGTTGCTGATTAAGCAAAGATGACTACATCTTCTTAATCTAAATTTATTATACTTTTCATTTAAATATAAGTTGCTGTGTAATAATTATGATACGACTTTGAGCTTCAACTGATTAAACAAAGATGACTACATCTTCTTAATTTGTCAGCAAAAGATGACTGCATCTTTCTGACACAAGAGCGTCCACTGAAAGAATTCTCATCATTTTTATACTGCACAACAGCAGTGTATTTTTTATTTCTTTAATAGTAACTTATGATAAAATTATAGAATTTATTATACTTTTCATTTAGATAAAAACTGCTGTGTACTAATTATGATACGACTTTGAGCTTCAACTGATTAAGCAAAGATGACTACATCTTCTTAATCTGTCAGCAAAAGATGACTGCATCTTTCTGACACAAGAGCGTCCACTGAAAGAATTCTCAGTAATTTTTATACTGTACAACAGCACTGTATTTTTTATGTCTGGAATAGTAACTTGTGATAAAATTATAGAATTAATTGTACTTTTAAACTTCATTTAAATAATATAAGTTGCTGATTAAGCAAAGATGACTACATCTTCTTAAGTGTCCACTAAAAAATTCTCATTAATTTTACAACAGTAATTTAATTACTTACTGTTTTAATGCCTCAAGGCATACAGTATGCAGTATAGGCAAGTATATATACTGATGCCAAATATACACCGATGTACGACTGGCTTTCTACCATTCGACATCAACTAATCTCGTTAATTGAGTAACTGTATTTATTGTCGTGCCTAATTTATAAAGTAACTTGTTGGAAGACTTGCAAAATCTGTGGTTTTCGTAAATATTTAAATTAGAAATTGTTAGTTTTGTTGTAGCTGTTATACTGGCAGTATAGTATTAGTATCACTATAAGTAGTTTGGGGGCTATAGCCCCTCCCCATCCCCCCCCC